CTCATCACCCCTGACTTCCCACAGTGTGCATTCTCAACACCCAAAGACCACCATCGCCATCCAGACCTGCGCCCAGCAGCCCGGCTATGGCTGCCGTGCGCCCACTGCCCAGCAGTGCACCTCACACCCCGGCGTCCATGCGTGCCACCCAGCCGGCAGCTTCGAGCAGAACACGAAGTTGCAATGCAGCAGCGTCACATTGCCTGCCTAGGCCAGAATGCCCTGCCCAGCGATGCTCACTTTCCCATATGGAAAGTGAGCTCAGCCTCTGCTGCCTCTGGTCCTGGCTGGGCGAGCATCCAGTAGCTTCCAGGCCTCAGTGTCTGCGCCCAGGCCCAGTTGCAGTTACGGGCCTGGGCCCTTTACAGTTGGGCACATCCAAGCAGTCCACGGGCCTCTACATGTTCGCTGTGATCTCATTGGCTCACGGCCACTATGTGCTGACAATGCTGCAATCTCATTGGTCCGTGGCTGTTGTATGATGTGTCAGCCTCTGGAAGCACACGCCCAGGGCCTTAACTGTACGGGGCCCTGGCTCAACTGCCCGTCGAGGCTGTAACTTCCGGAAAGAGCCTAGAGAGGCTCACGTTGCTCTGTAACCAACTGGTATGCTGCAACTGTCTGATACCCACATATGGGAAAATGTCAAATCTTGGCCTCTTGTGAATATTCAGGCCCGCCTTCACTTCGGATGGGCACAGGGCTTGCTAAGGGCCTCTGCACAGAACATGTGCATGTCTGTTAAACCACCAGTACCTGGCCCAGCTATCGAGTCCGAGCCTCGGCCAACCGGTACGCCGATCCGTGCCGAGGCTCGGACTACCGGGCACAGGCATCCCGAACGTCGAAGTGAAAGGCACGAAAAAAACGGGAAAAAAAAACGAAAAAAAAAAAAGAAATAAGAAAAACGAATGGGTTCATTCCCGCTTTGTGTTTCCCGAACGGCTTCGGAAACGCAAAGTGGGAATGAATCTTCCCGCTTTCGCACAGAGAGAGAGAGAGAGAGAGAGAGAGAGAGGGAGGGAGGGAGGGGCGCCGACCTGCACAGAGGGTCGCGGCGAACTCGCCGCCTCTCTCTCTCTCTCTCTCTCGCGCGCGCTCGTTTCGAGAAACGAAACGGGAATGGATCTTCCCGTGATAGGGGGAAGATGCATTCCCGTTTCGTTTTTCGAAACGA